TAGCGAGCCATGCCCAAAGTTGCGGGGATTGCAAGGGTGGCTGCCTGCAGGGGAGGGAGAAGCCAAGATGGTGAAGCAGCAGGGCCCAGAGCCACGCGGTGCAAGGGCACGGCGTCGATCGTGTGCCCAACCCCAGGGCTCTGGCCTCCCCCAGACACCAATGCACCTCCCAGGGGACAGAGGTTGATGTACCCCGTCCTCGCCCATAGCACTCACCTGCTGCTCCGGGAGCCACCTGGACCAACAGGAGCCAGCCCAGGATGCCGGCACAGCCAGCCCACGTGGCGCCAACACTGCCTGCTTGACTCCCATGGCTGGACCCTGTGCGTCTCATTGGCATCTGGAGCTGCGAGCGGGACAGGGACAGTGAGCGCAGAAGCCTCTTGGCCATGTGCAGCTCCTCCTGCTCCTGCCCAGCAGTGAGGGGTGGCAGGGGCAGAGCAAGATGGCCCAGCAGCACCCATGGCCCCCGCTGCCTTCCCCAGACTCCGCATGGCAGCCACTCCTGCTCCACCTAAGCCGCGCCAGGCCCATGCCAGCCTTCCCTCACCCAGTGCCAGCGGCATTCCCAGCCCTCCACGCCCACTCCCTCTGCCCCACCCAGTGCTGCTCCACTCCCTCTCACCCACTGCAGCTTCTCCTCCCCTCCTCCGTCCACACACCCAACTGTGGGGCAGGGCAGGACGGCGCCTCCCCGACCCCAAGGGCAGCAGTACTGCAGGCTCCAGAGCCATGCTCTGCTCAACAGGCAGACGCTACTGAAGCCTTGGCTCAGCCGCTTGCTCCCCACCGTGGCCCCAGACAGTGCCTGCAGCCAGCCCCTCCACAGGGCATGCTGCCCCTGGTGCCACTGCCCTGACACCGTGGCCAGTGCACGCCCAGGCAGGCCCCATGCAGCACAGGTAAGTGCCGCAGGAGCTTGTTGGGCAGCTTGGCTCGCTGGGAGATGTGCTGGGGAGGACGAGAACGGGGGATTGCGCAGGGCAGCCCCTCCAGCAGGGCCTGGATGCAGAGCAGGGCAAGCAGCCAGCTGCAGCCTCAGGGAATAGAGGGAGCAGGGGCCAGGTGGACAGAGGCAGGCACAGCCCCATAGCTCTTGGGGCTGAGCAGGGAGCCTGGGGCTGACTTGACATGTCCAGTCCCACTGCATGCCTTCGCTAAGAGAACGGGCATGCTCTCTCTCTGCCGGCACTTGCCCCCTACCCGCCTGGTCTCCCCGTCCTGCAGGCTCAGTGCCCAACATCCCACTAGCACCAGCCAGAAGGACATGGCATCCTCTGCACCCCCAGCGCCTGTCATCCCCCCCCACCCCCTGTCTCATCTGTGGCCCCCAGCCCAATCATGCCTGCTCACCTGCTGCCTGCCTGGAGCACGAGCCCAGTCACCTGCCAGCCTGGAACAGCCCCTGGCCACAGACCGGAGCCCTGGGACCCCAGCAGCAGCTCAGCCAGCGGCAGAAGGCAAGGGGTGGTGCACCTGCCTAATGGGAGGCAGGAGATCCTTGCACAGCAGGAAGGCAAGTCCCAGCGAGCCTCGGCTCTGAGCCGGTTTTCAGGGCTCCTCTGGGCGGGGGAGGAGGTTTCGCAATGCGTGCTCCAGGCTTTTTGCACCTCGCTTACCACGCAGCGTGCACCAGACCCCCCGCCCTCCGATGCCAGAGCCAAAGCCTCTTTTCCCAGGACAGCTGTGCCTCAGGCCTGGGAACAGGTTCTCCACACCCTGAGCAGGCTATTACAGGGTTTTACCACTGCCAGTCACACCTGCAGCTCCTGCTTCTCCCCTTGCAATGTGGAGCCTTCCCCTCCCCAGGTGGCCACACCACAGGACTGTCCCCTGCACCACCATGGCTTCCACGAGGCTGCCACAGCTGGGGACCACGGGGCCCATTGGTCCTTGTTGAGGCCTGGGTAAGGGCCGTGGCTCCTGGGGTTTTCAATGAAGCCTGTGCCCCCTCCACTCCATGCGCAATGAGGCCTAGACAGCAGAGGGAATGCGGGGCTGTGCACCACAGGGCTCAGTGCCGCCAGGTGTCAGCAGCACCACGGGGCTCCTATCCCTGCACCTACACTCCGGTGCCTCATACAAGGACAGCCCAGCCCTCTCCACCCCGTAGCGCCAGCTGCCCCAGCTGCTCTGAGCTCCCCCAGGCCAGCGTGAGCAGAGCTGGTAACGCCAGAACTGGTGCAAATTGCTGCCACACACATCCGTGCAGGATTGTTCCAGGTATGCTCTCCTGTGGTACTAGGGCCTACAATGCTTGGGGAGGCCCTGCACATAGCTTGTCGCCTTTACGGGGCAGGGGGACATGGGCTTGGGACACATGCAGCCGCGGCACAACCAGGCTCCTGGGAGAGGAAGGACTCTGCAGCTCCAGTCAAGCAGTGCTGCGCTGGGGGACTCTCCCCTCCATTCTTCGGAGCTGCTGCTCCTGGGGAGAGGCTGGGCTGCCCCACTTGGCACGGTCATGCAGGGGGAGCTGAGCACTTGGGCCACGAGGCCAAGAAGAGCTACAGCCCTGTGAGCTCCTTGTGCTCTCAGTGCACTGCATCTCCCCACCCCTGCCTGAGACACACGAGACGGGCGGCTCCCCCCAGGCGGCTGCAGCTGCATCACAGGGCAGACATTACCCTCCCCTGACTGTGACTTGCGCCCTGGGGGAGATGGGGAATGGGCATCACTGCAGTGGTTGTGGAAGGGAATTAGGGTGGGCAGGCACCTGTGTGGCCCCAAATTCTTATCTGGGCACCTGCTCATTTGGGCCTTAGGAGGATCCGGCTAGAGAGGAGAGAGGGAGCATGGGCAGGGATCACACAGGGGCACCCCAACCCAGGCTGGAGCCCACAATGGATGGAGGACGCTGGGCGCACCAGGCTCTCCTTGTGCCTTGGACTCTGGTTGTGCCTGGCAGCCTGGTCCAGCTGGGACAAGATACTGTCCTACCCCGGGGGAGGCAGAGCCCTGCCCTGGGCTCTGCCATTAGGGATGGGAGATGCTGCTGCCCTCCCCGTCCCGTGTCCCAGCCTGGTGGGATCTTTGTTCTGCTCTGCCTCCCTGGTGCGGTGCTGGAGGCCTTATCTCACCGGAGGCAGCTGAGTTAGGAACGGGGGTGGCAGGTGCCTGCCTGGGGCCTGTTGGGACTTGGAGATGGGCTTGGAGGAGCTGCAGGAAGCACCTCCCACAGCAGCTGGAGCCTGCTCGGGGGTTAAGGATGGGCCTGTGGCCAGGGCACACCCTGATGCTGTGGGGGGACCCTGACCTCCCCATCCACCCATTGGAAAGACCTGGGGGTCAGAGGCCAGGCCTCGGGGCAGGCTAGTTCACCTAGCTGGGCTGGGAGAGGCTGATACAACCCCTCTGCGTCTACCGTGGCCTCAACCACCCGTTGCAGCTGTGCTGTCCCACTGGTGTCCCATAGGCACAGTGCTGCACAGCATGGTGCAGGCAGCTGCGCCCATGACCAGCGAGTGCCTGCACTGCAGAGCTCCAGGCTGCAGCGGGAACAGCCCAGGGCCAGCATAGGGCCTACGTTCAGCCCCTCGGACACCCTCTGCCTCCCCCAAGGTCACCCCTGCACCACAGCTGGGCTTCCTGGGGTCTGTCATCGTCCCTGCCTGGAGTCCGGCCCCACTGCAGGGAGCTGCTCAGCATTGTGCACTGCCAGAACCACTGCACCCCCTGCTGGGCCAGTGCTGCTGCAGCAGGGCAGTGATACCTGCAACATGCAAGCCCAGCAGAAGCCGGGCCGTGGGTGTGCAGCAGGATCCCCAGGGCCCTGGGCAGGCAGCCCCAGCAGGGCAGGGAGCCCGGACCCCCAGCCAGGGCCCCCCCACTACTCACCACTGCAGCTCTGGGCTGGGGCAGGGAGCAGCCGGCAGGCAGGCCAGTCTGGGAAGGGGCCCGGGGGCTTCATTCTGCTTCAGGAAAGCAAAACTGTGACAACCCCAGAGAAGGCAGACCCTGCCGGCTCTGAACAGACTGGGGTGGGAGCGTGTTGCAGCATTTGCCCTGGTGCTGTTCACCTTGCCCACGACTCGCTGTGGGCAGCAGCGGCTGAACGGACACACTTGTGTCTTGACTTTGGCTCTGCCACGCTGGGGTGCTGGGTCCCTGCAGCCACCACCTCTGCAGTAGCTCCGCTTCAGCCAGCTCTTCACCAGCTGCCTGCTCGTTAGGAAGGGTCACTGAAGAGGAGCAAAGCAAGAACTTAAGGGAGGATCCTACAAGCCTGACAGTGCTGGCCACAACCCGTGCCCCCATCTCCCAGCCTCTGGACAATGCACCCTGCTGCACCCTCCACCCAACACATCCACAGGGCCTCCCACAACAGCTGGGGCATGCGTGACACTGCCCTGCCCCCACGTGCCACTGCGTGTTTCCTGCCCTCACATGCGTGCCCAGAGGCGGCTCACGAGTACACCACTATCTAGTGCTGTAGCACGCACAGCCCTGGCTTACCCAGTGCTCACCAGGAGCCACGGCCAGGCCACCCAGGCTCTCGGGCAGCTCTTGGTGTTCATGCTGCCTGACTGAGAGCCTTTCCATGGAGGCCAGGCCTCAGGTTGTGCAGGGGACTGACAGGCCCCCCTGGCGTGGGCCCCACCCATGCACCCCTGCCCAGCTTAGCTGGAGCAGCAGCCACTGGCGCTTACCACTGCAGACTGCCATAAGCACAGAGCTGGGCTCATACCTGCACCTCTGCAAGAGATGGGACTTCAGCCCAGCAGTATCCCCCAGATCTCTACCCAAAGACCTCTCGAGACTGCTGACCAGAGGACATGGACCAGTGGGTGGCTGTGCAAGCCAGGCTGTGTGCCCCTGCCCACACTGGCACCAACATGCTGCCACAACCAGAGCAACGGGCTCTTGCAATGCCTGGCTTGGGCAGAGAGCCCTATGCTCCCAGCAGAACAGCAGCTCGGACAGGGAAGGAGTTGCCTCTTCTGCCCTGGCCAGGGCTGACGCAGAGCAGGCCGATGCCCAGACGCACGCAGATGCCCATGCTTCGTTAGCATGTTTATTTCCATTTAAACAGTAGTCAAAGGCACCTGTGCTGGGTGCCGGCATCCTGATGCCCCCATGTGTCCAAGCCCAATGAGCCAGCAGGGCTCCTGGTCACAAGGGCGACCGCTCCCTGGGTTTGTCTAGGGCAACCAAGGGGCCAGGGACCCACTCTGGGGGAGGCACCTGCACCTGCCATGCAACCCCCCTGGTGCCATCAGCAGTGGCCAGATCCTCTTCTTGCCACACAGGGAAGCTTATGGATGCTGCTGGTCAAGGCCTTCTCTCGCCGGGCTCTCAGACCCAGTCACCTCCGCCTCCACAGGTAGGTCTGGATAGACTGAGCCGGAGATGTGGCGTTGATGACATGGCCATTGTCCACCAGCCTGAAATCCACACTGCTCAGCGACCTGCAGGGAAAGGGGAAGGGGTAGGGTCAGGTGAGACCTGCACAATGACAAGCAAGGATGAGCCACGTGCCCTGGGCTCAGGGTCTAGTGACAGATTCCTGCTGGCTCCAGCATTTGGGGGTCAGCACCACCCTGCCTCCCCAAATGCCCTGAGATGTGTGCAACAGGCCTGGAGTGGAGGCACAGTGGCCCAGGGACCCGCAGGAGAAGCCCAGAGCAATGCCACAATGGACCCCAATGGCACCCCAGCAGCCCAGGGCTCCCCAAGCTCCTCACTGCACAGACCACAGGCAGGGGCGGATGTCCCCTCCCTGCCTGCAAGGACCCACAGCACCAGCCTCAGGCTGTCAACCCAGGTTGCTGTTCCAGGGGAAGCTCTCGTTAGCCTTAGTCTTTCCCCACTCTCCACAAAGGCCAGATCCAGGTCCCAAGCCCTGGGCTCCCTGCTTGGTACTGCTGGTCAGGACACGATCCCCTGCTCGCTGCCAGCCATGCCACTGACCTGTTCAGGATCACGACAACGGCGGCGCCGTCAGGGCGCAGGAAGGCCGTATACTCCAGGTTGCACTTGCATGACCTGGAGGCAACAAGCCCCACGCGCTGTGAGCCCTCAGGGATGAACTTGCTGCAGAGACAAGGACAGTGCTGTGAGCACTGGGAGAGGAGAAGCAGCCCCAAGACTGAGCTGGTGCAACACAGAGCCCAGAGGCACGTGCCACAGGGTCACTGCCTCCCAGGGCTCCTGGGAGGCTGCCGTGACTGGCTGCAGGAGGCGCAGCAGTGTCCCACCTGAAGTGCCCCATGTGGTAGAACATGGGCTGCTTGTAGAAGATGTTTTCTTGGCTGTCGACTATGATGGGGCTGTCCACGAAGTTCTTGACCCAGTTGGGGCCACCCTCCAGGTCCAGCGCCAGGTTCCAGTCGGTCCAGCCCGTGACGTAATTGTTCAGGTTCTGCGGGGAGTGGCAGGGGGCTCAGCGCAGGCAGGGATTGGGGGGATGCACACCCGCTCCCAAGGCCGGGAGCACCATGTGTGGGCACTGAGGGGCCTTACTGTCAGGATGCTGTGGCTGTACATGTTCCCCCGGTCCCAGCAGCCCAGAAAGACACTTCTCTCCCAGAACTTGGAGCCAACGCAGGCTTCAGTGGCCAAGATGTAGTAGTCAGGGAAGAGGCGGTGGGTAGCTAGCACAGTGTCCTCAATGGGTGCCAGGAAGTCCAGGTACCAATGGATGCCAATGCCATTAATGTAGCGAGCAGCCCGCTCATCCCCCAGCACCTGAGCAGGGAGAAGAGAAATCACCCACCAGCCAACACTTCCTAGACTGAGAGCAAGGGCTGTGACAGGGCAGGGACTCACCACTTTGGCCCAGTGAGGGAGATGGATGCGGTTGTCATCGAGCATGATGAGCTGGATGCCCTTGTGCGAGCTGTTGGCCAGCGCTGGGCCTAGGTCGAGGGCGATGAAGTCCCGCTGCTGCTCGGGGGTGAAGCCCAGGCACTGGAAGGGGTAGTTTCTGATCAGTCCGGCCGTGGGCTCGTTCTCCGCCGTCACCGCCCAGAATGTCAGGTTGTGCTTGGCGTATTCGTCCAGGAACCTGAGGCAGCACTGGAGACGTGAGCATTCCCGGCCTCGCCTCAGGCCAGGCCCCCCAGCCTGGGGGGAGGGCCCAGCCCCACTGCAGTCCTATGGGCAACCCTGGGGTTCCCCTCACCTGACGAAGTAGTTGGCCCAGGTCTTGTGGTACTTGTCACCTGCACTGCCCTTCAGACTGCCCTTCCCCTTCACGTCTCCATTGGTCTTCATCCAGGTCGGGGAGGTCCAGGGGCTGGCGTACAGTGAGATCGGCCGCTTGGACATGGCCTTTGCCCGCTGCACCACTGGGATCTAAGGAGACCGCAGAGGGGACCAGCTTGCTGTGGGCCATGGCGGGAACTCCCTGCCTGACCCTGGCCCCAGCCCCCAGGCCAGCAGTCCAAGTGGCTCCCTCTCACAGCTCCTCAGCATCCCAGATGTAGTGGGATAAACCAGCCCATCTGGCACTCGCTTGTGCTCAGGGGTCACCTTAGCTGTGGGGGCTGCTTGGACATGCCTTCCTCTCAGCACCTCCAGTTGGGCAGGTTCCAGGTACCCGCAGGCTTTGGATGTTGCACAGGGAGGGCCCCTTGGTGGGGAGCAGGGCCAGGGGACTCCCATGCACTGGGGACCCCAGGAAGTGGCTCTTCTGCTGGCCAGAATGAATGCCTAACACCGCTGCCAGTGTCAGGGGACAGCACTTGCTGCCCTGGATCACACCACAACAGCAGGAAAAGCCCTGGGAGCTTGGCTAGAACGCAGAGTAGCACCTCCCTGCCCCCTCCCACCCCCCACTAGGTCCTCCACTCCCCACACCAACACCGACACCCAGCCCCCCGGGTACTGCTCACTTTCAGCTTTGTATCCTCATGTGTCAGATGGAAGTGCACGAGATCATAGTCGTATGGGACATCGTCGTACGTGTAGGGGTGGACGGAGAAGTCGCAGCTGGCCATGGGCATGCGGATGAGGTTGTACTCAATGCCTGGGGGCAGGAATGGGGTTATGGGGCCGGGGGAGCAAAGATGTCCCAGCCCACAGCCCCAGTGCCCAGCTCCCCCAGGCAGGGAGGTAAGGACATCAAATGCACATATCTCCCCCTGGCTGCCTCAGCCCTTGCCCCAGCATTCACCTTCCTCGGAGAAGTAGGACCGCAGCAGGCTGTCCTGGACCTTTGGGGACAGGGACAGGATATTGATTGCGGCTGAGTCCGTGACAGAGCCGCCGAAGCCCTTCACCTTCTGGTACCGCTGCACCGTGTCCAGGGTCAAGACGAGACCTGCAGGGCAGAGCGCAGCACTGCTCAGGGCCAGGCAGCTGTGAGCACAGGCACAGGAACAGCGCCCCAGCCCAGCCCAATGCCCCGGTCCCCAGCCCCTGCACGGTACCTGGGGCCCAGAGGTTCCTCTGCACCTTGCCCTCGCTGCGCTCCAGTCGCTTGCCAGCCTTGCTGCTCTCATACTTGACAAAAGTACCCACGGGTGGGAGAGTGACAGGGTCCAACGTGTCGCAGTAGGTGGCATTGCACTCACACACCATGAAGTCCTTTCCAAAGTACTTGGGACTGCAGGGACTGCTGCCTACGGTGGGGCAGGGAGAGGGTCGCATAGGGACAGGGCAGGCAGGGGGCCCTGGGGGCAAGTCCAGGCTTCCCCACAACTTCCCGTAGAGCAGTGGTTTTCACCCTGTGGTCCACAGACCTCTAGGGTCTGCAGACCACGTCTAAGGCAGGGGTGGGGAAAATGCGGCCTGGGGCCCTAAAACATTTAGAAAATTAATATTTATCTGCTCCTGCCTGCCTGTCATGCGGCCCTTGATGGCTTGCCAAAACTCAGTAAGTGGCCCTCCGCCTGAAATAATTGCCCACGCCAGTCTAAGGATGAAGGATGTGAACACCCACACTTAGAGTTCAAAGGGGTCTGCTGCTCCATAAACAATTTTTTTAGGGGTCCACAAATTAAAAAAAGATTGAGAAGCACTGTGGCAAGGATCTCCTGCCCTGCCCTTGAGCTTGGTGGATGCGCCGAAGCGAGTCCTCTCCCGCTGGAAGCACTGGGCTGCCCTGGAGCCTCGTACCCAGGGCTCCAGTGCAGCCGCAGCCCAGCGCAACCCTCTCAGGGTCCCCTGCAGCGACTCCTGTCCCACGGCTCTCCCGCAGCACTCACCTGCCACCGCCTGGATCAGCAGGAGCCAGCCCAGGACGCGGGCACAGCCAGCCCACATGGCGCCAACGCTGCCCGCTTGCCCCTCACGGCTGGGCCCTGCGCCCGCCAGCAGCACCCGGAGCCGCGAGCAGGAAGGGAGGTGAACACGGGCTGCTCCGGCCCCAGCGATGCCCAGGCGGCCCGGCCCAGCGGCGGGGGGTGCCGGGAGCGGGGCTGCTGCGTGCTCGTCCCCGGGAAACGCCAGCGCCAGCAGGCCGGCCTCCCCGCGGCCTCCGCTACGGCTGGGGCAGCCCAGCGCCTGCCCACACCTGGCTCTCGCCTGGTTTTTAAGCAATACCTCAATCCTAATCCCTGCGTCACCTGATCGCACCCTCCCTAGGGCCTGTGTCATTTCCTCCCCCACCTGCCGCCGGCCTGATGCCTGGCTCCCTGCCAGGGCCCCTGCGATGCCAGCACTGCCGGGCAGGCGGGG